CGGCGGCGGCGGCGGCGCCGTAGTTGTCCATAAAGGTACTGAAGCTGGGGAGAGAAGTGGTGGCAGTGATTTCAGTGTTGGTCAGGTCCATGCTAAACTTGACAAACTCGGGCGTTAAGAAGTCCGAGCTGTACTCCCCGGCAGCCGCCGAGTGGTGGTATGCGTAGCTCTGCGTGGCCGGGCTGGCTCCTTGCGGCGAGGACCCGTACTGAGCCTGGACGCAGGGCATGGCTGCAAACGAAACACGGCACAACAAGAGCATGGCTCAGCTTTCCTGGGCAACAATCCCATTCCTCGGCCCCCGCCCACCCATCCGTTCCCCCCAAAGAGGCCAAGCCAGGAAGGGATGACGATACCAGGGAGTGGGGCAGGCAGACGAGGCAGGACGAAGGCAGGACAAGCGGTGGCAGAAAGGGAGGTAAAACGCTAACCGAAGGGAGGTGAGGAAGTGGACAGGCAGGTAGCGCAGAAGGGCAGGTATAGAGAGGGAGGGGAGAAAGCAGCGGGGAAAGTGAGCATCGGCGGGGGAGGAGACGGGGGTGTCCTCTAAGTAGAGAGCAACTCCCCCGCTGCTAAGTCCAAGGGAGGCTAGATGGGGGGCTGGCCGCGCTCGAGCTGCTGAGTGGATCCCGGCACGTCCCCTCCTCTCCACCTGCACGCACATGTACCCGATCCCTCCTTCTCTCCCGAGTTCCGCGAGCCCAGCTCCGGCCGGAGGCTGAGGCCGCCTTGTCTGCGTCTGAGAAAGTTTGACTTCCTGGTTGGCCGGGGTGGGGAGGAGGAAAGGACCAGCCCGCGTCACCCACCTTCAGCCGCGTGAGTGGCGTTTTCGGGAGAATTGAAGGCAGACAGCGTCGGAAGTCAGCGGAGAGACAAGTTGCCAAGACTTGAGCGAGGCGCTGAGGACTCCAGCCTGTCCGGTTGCTCCCTGAAAAAGACGGGCAAGGTGCGGAGAGGGAGACGGCGTTACTCTTTCAGTCTCACCTGGACCGGGGGGTGGGGTGCAGCGAGGACGGGTGGGCGCCACAAAATCCCTCGCGTCAGCAGCTGAGCTTCCCGCCAGGCCCAGAGGTGGAAAGGAGTGCTGGGAATACGGTCTCCCACAAGCCGTAATAGTCAGAGAGCTTATCTTCCGCTGGATGAGGATGGAAAAGAAAAACCCTTGCCTGTGGGGTTTTTCTTGTTCTCGTTGCGCTATTTTTTTCCTCGTTGTGCAACAAAAGTATTCAGACACTTCAAGCTATCCCCTCCTACTCCCTAATAGCTTGTCCACACGCATTTGCCGGCAGAGATGCACGCTCACGCAAACTCTTACACCTGACAGCTCCCGCAAGCCTCAGATCGCCTGTTTGCAATCCCATTGGGCTAACTTCTCTTCATTGCAAGCGAGGTGTCAGTGGCGTGAGATAAGAATGAGAAGCGCGACGGGATGGGGGAGGAGAGAGAGGGGCCCAAGCTCTCGTCTCCCCTCGACATTCCGCCACTCTTCGGCTTCCAGATCTTCAAAGGAGCAGAGCGGCAGAAACGGCATTAATTAGAGCACGCAGCCGCTCGCCGCTCGCTCGCACGCGCGCGCGCGCACAAAGGCAAAGGCAGTGAAAGGCCAAAGAAGCGAGCAACCCAAGCCGCTGAGCTGCGCGCGGGAGAGCAGGAGGTTCCGAAGGATGCGCGTGGCAAAGTAACGCAGCAGAATTAAACGGGAGAAGGGAATACCTCTGCCACCTCTTCCGGATCCCCTTCGGAACTGACGCAAATCGTTTTTTTCCGGGGGCTTTTCCAATGATTGCATCCCTCCGATATCACCCCCTCCCCCAGAACAGCTTCTCAGGCGTACAAGAAGAAAACCCTGGGAAGTTTCATACTTTGACTGCTCAACCCAGCCGGCCAATTTCGGCGACTCCTCTCTGCTTCTGCTCCTGCTCCTGCTCCTGCTCCTGCTCCGAAGTCTTGTGCCCTTAATTCAAATTCCGTTCAAAGCCAACACTCTCTTGAGCAACCGGTAGATTTAGTCCAGCATCCTCGTAATCTCCCCCACTCTGTACAAACCTGCTAGGACATTCAGACTAGGGCTGGAGGCGATTTTCCCTGCTTCCTGTCTCCCATCTACACCAGGCAAGAAGGCCGGCCGGCCCCACTATACAGCGGCGTGCTCTAGACTAATTTATTACAGTATCCCCACCTCCGGCAGCAATCAACATGAAAGGCAGTGAAGGGCTCGAGGACGGAGCGCCGGTTCTCCCTTCGCTAAGCCTTGCAGCTGACGGAGATCAAAGTCGTTCCCAAGCAACCCAGATCCGCCCAGCAACTTTTTTTCCTGCGACTGAAGCC